CGACTTCTCATTGGAGAGGGTCCAATCGGAGTAGGTGTGCAATGCGGGGTTAATGTCGGCATGGTGGTTGCCAACCTCGCCAACATGGGTATCTCCATCAACTCGGCCGTGAACAGTGGCTTTTGCGGCCGCGTCAACCTCAAAGGCCCAATCAACAAGGTGGCCGGCTTAGTCTCCGCACTTGAACCAAACATGTGAAGGAAGGAAGGTTTGATGCCGGTAACATTGCGAGACATCCTAAGTTTTCGAGGTCACTGGCGTTTTCAGCGCATTGTGCACGGTGGACATTGGCGGCGCGATCGCCTACATGAGCCAGGTCGTGACGTTCATCAATCTCATTGTGGTTCATTGCCAGGACTTCCTGGATGTCAGTGCACTCTGTGGAGCAAGCATCTCAGGCATCATCACGTCCGCCGCAGCCATGGCTCCTTATGGCGCTGCCGTGCACGCTGCATGTGCCGAGGATGTCCTGAAGAATCCCAAGAAGCAAGAGCTCCTCAACGGCCTCTACACGGTGCCCACCTTCCACCGCCGGTTGGAGGAAGTGAAGAAAGTGGAGGAGTTGAAGGATGCCATGGCCAATCTGAAGGACCTGCGCCAAAAGTTGGAGGCCAAGCTCGGCTTCAATGCCTCGGTGCCGACCATGTATTCCGAGGCGAACCTGGAGCAGATGATCCAACTGATGAACGATGGAATTGCTGGCGATGCGGAGACGTCGTCCATGCGCGGGTCTTCGGAGTTCACGAAGGAAGAGTGTGAAGAGTAAGCGAATCATAGAATCATAGCAAAAGAGCTTCAACCAAATGAGCGTTGGCAATGACTGCGTTCATAATTCAGCTTGAGGGCCCGCGACGTGAGAGATATATCGGTAACGAAAGTATCTCAGTCGAGGTTCCTCTGGCTCAGTGACGATGACTCACATCCGTACTTGTGCTGTGCACTTGAATCGAACACATCCTGGTGGAGCGAATCATCTTGAAAAGGGTGTGTCATCGTGAAGTTGGAGCTTGCATCATTGTTTCCGAAGTTTCGCAGTTTTGTGCGGGTGGTCCACCCAAGCGCAGCAGCATGCTGCTGAGGGCCATTTGTTCACCACCTGCTCTGACAGAGCTCATCCCCCTGTCTTCCAGGGAACGTGTGAAAGGAAGGTCGGGATTCTGCCTAGGTGTTGTGATCATGAACTGCGGCACTGCTGCATCACGGACGGGAGGACAAGCTGCTTTGCATTTCCGCATGGCCTCACCAGTGGGCTAGGCACGGAATATCATGGAATCATACGATGAGAGGATCAGATACATCAGATCATGAGCGGTGACGACTTCTTGCCTCTCAAACCCTTTTTCAGCACCCGTGTGTCAGAAAAGGAGGCGATCACTCTGACGCTAGTCTTGATTCTCAACGCATACTCGAGTGAGCTGCAGAAGGTTGTGTTGCTCTATCCGGGTCAAAGTGGTACTCGTTGGAACACAGATCGTCAGTGTGCGCTCTGCCCATGTGCAACCATCTGGCTCAAGGCACGGAACCCCTTGTGCCGAAAACATGAACCGATAGCTGATCCATTTCTACGTTGGTGTGTTGAAGCTTGACCGGACTTGCCAAACCGCTGCCTTTATAGGCGTCTTGTCTTGTCTTGGCACGGTGGACTGAGGAATTGAGTGCTCGGTCTGCGCAGGTGCAGTTTTGTGCTGCTGAAGAACTGCATCAGTCTACACTTCGTGCTTTGTGAATGATGCACACAGGCGGCAACATGCGCAACGGCTATGTTCTGCCGTTGTTGTTGATGCATGGGGCTTGGATTCTGGTGCGTGCAATTCTACACGAGATTACGCATCCTGGCAAGTCGTGGTGTTGCTAAGCAGCTATCGCGTGACAGGATATGCATCGAGCTCACCTCCTGTGACAAGGACACCGCTTGCTGCTTTGTGACTGAGTTCGTGATGTCTGACAGTGACAAATGCAGGCGGTGAGGTCGCCTGCATTTGCCTTGGTGGACGACGATCCTTGCTTGCGTCGCGGCCTTGGCCTCGGGGCTTGGTGTCGCTCCGGCGAGGAGGTCTTGGCTTCTTTGCTGTGTGGATCGTGGATCTGTGTTCGTCGCTTTGGCTTTCCCAGCAGCAACAGAGCAGCTCTGGAGGCGACCCCGACAGTCAGGACTTTCAGTGTGGCCCCGCACCTACGAACCGAGCGGCAGCGCTGGTTGCTGCAAGAGTTGTGAGCAGGCACAGCACTTCTACAGAGTGGTAACCGGCGCCTACCGCCTCGGAAGGCAGCCTGGATCCAAAAGTCGGAGTGCACGTAGGTGAGGAAATGCCGTGTGCCAGGCGGCATACCAATCCGAAGCTTCCAAAGATGCCAAGAAGGCGTGCGGAAGCCGCTAGGGTCAGAGCCATGTATGGCATGTTGTAACAGCACGAGTCTTGGCGCCCATCGGCATCTTTTGGACATAGCTTGGTGATTGTGACAGGCAGGTGCACCTCTCCTCGAGGACTTGTTAGAAGTGGCCAGCAAGGTGTTCCGGCCGGGATTCTTTGCAGTGCAGATGCTTGAAGATATCGGAGACTTGGCGGGGCCATTGTTGCGTTGTGGAACACTGCACATTGGACAGGCCAGCTACAATGCGAGCTTCTTAGGGCAACTGGAAAGCTTGGTCGGGACCTGAAGGCTCTGCGCAAGAGGCATCCGAAGGCGCATTGAGCTGACAGGTCTCAGATCCGAGCCTCGGAGCCAAGGGAGTCCATGGAAGCCTTCGCTTCCTGCAAGAGGAGCCCGGTTGTTTCGAAGCTTCGTGGGAGATCTGCGATGGATAAAATCTCTGAAGGAGCATTCGATCCGTCTCTCTACTTGCGATGCTGAGCTTCGGTTGCGAGTCTTGGCACGAAATCGATCTCCCCCTTGTGGGTTCACAGATGGCTTCGTCTACTCATGCTATGTAGACAAGCACTTTTGCCACCACTGTGCTTCGACCCTAGAGTTGGCCGAGCTGTGCTGCGGTGCTCCACGGCTCTACCGTTCAGGACTTGAGAGTGAGCTGAAGCTCACTGAACTCTACAACCGGTGGCTGCATCTGGACAAGGCCGGCGGCTGAGATGGTTACTTCGCAGCAACCGAAGGAGGAAGGAGGTGTGACGGCAATCACCTCTCGAAATTCTGATCCCACCCCCAATCTCAGAGGCCTGTCAAGCTGACGAGCATCTCCTTCGGCAGGAGCTTGACTTGTGTCCCAGACTGAGCCGTCGCGTCTGTTGCATGCCACTGTCTTTACAGATGGCGGGATGCTTCATACTTGGATTCACCTCCCATGGCGATACCCAACCCTGGAAACTCAACTCAAGGCTTTGTGGTTGATACGGAACTAACCCTGGCATATGTCGGCACTGGGATTCCCTTTATTTTGCTGCAGAGACTCGGTCGGCTCAGAGAGCCAATGATTTCCAGTCTAAATCCAGAATTTGTTTACTCGCGGAACTCAGCCCGGAGCTTCTTGTTTAACTCAGACGCCCTCCTTTGTCCTGTCTGAGAAATTGTTCGCCGAGTGAAGCAGGACAGTGGTTTTGGTGATTAAACCTGGCCTCTCTGTGTGCACGCACGCCGCGCGATGAGGCATCGCGAGCTGGCATAAGCTGGGACAGCTGAGAAGTCGAACTACAACATTCGGAGCTCCCTGCATGCGATATGTGAAATGCACGACTCTTAGCGTGAAGGCGCCAGAGCAGCCTGAAGGAGCGAGGGGACGATGTTTTGTCGGCCGTTTAAGATCAACCACACTTTTGTCTCTTGCTTGGCTTACTCAGCCGTGGCCGCAGGCGTGCTGGCGGTTTCTGGGCTCTCTAGCACTTTCGTGCCCGGACTTCTGTGCCGGAGCGCGGCGTCATGCGGCTTCAGTAGTAGCCCGGCACAGCAAAGCTCACTGCAAAGATCAGAGGTCGAAAGCGAAATCCTTTTTGTGCCCTGCGTATCTCTTCGAGAGAAAGCTCTAGCTTCAAGCCGCTAGAGGAATGCCGACGGCATACAACGTGTCCACCTCAGTGGATAGTGGATGCTAAGAGCAGCTAGCCAAAGTTTGGGCTAGAGGAATTCCTGCGATGCGGGCTTCGTGCGTGCGAAAAGTATGCTGAAAACAAGTCAGCCTAAAGCTTCAAGAAGCAGAGGCTCAGAATCTAACATGCGGCGCATCTTGCTGCGGCTTCGACTGCCAGCATGATGGCCCCAGCGGCGTTCGCCGATGAGATCGGTGAGGTGATGCAGCGGAGAAGTTCGGGGCCGCCTCTTACGATCCTCTTACGACTTGGCCAAGGATGTCGACTGGAACAGCGGCATCTTTCTCCAGGCCCCTGGCAAGTTCCAGCTCCTGGGTGCTTTGAAGGCAATTGACAAGATGATTGAAATGGGAGTGAGCCACTGCGGACCCGAAGCTGTTGAAGGCGGCGGCGGAGGCTCACCACGAGGCCATGCTGCGCCGCGATGTCTTCGGCAATGTGTTCCTCTTTCGAGGACGTCTTCGCGATTTTCATGCTCTCCATGTTGGTCTTCGGATCCGTTGCTGCACCGTGAGGTGCGGCGTTCCTGCCTGAACTTCCTCGGTGGTGCCGTCATCGATTTAACGCTCTGCAGCGGCGTGCTGCCTTGGTCCCGTTCCCCACCTCCCCCGCTGATGGCTAGGACATCGTCATCCTGCCATTCGCTTGTTAAAGACCATGAAAGCCAAGGAAAACATGATCGTCATGGGAGGTCACAAAAAACTCCTCCTGAAGGCCGCAGTCGAAGCCCACCACAAAGCCATCGGCAGCATCGGCAGGAGGCAGAGAAGACTGCCTTGGGCAGTGTGGTGGCATCAGTGCCTAAGGTAATCTCTCTTGGACGTCTACAGTTCCCTGGTTGTCGTGGTGGATGTCAGCCTCCCGAACAACATGTTCTCCAAGGTGAATTTGCTGGATGCTTGGCAGCTGCCAAGAGCAGCTATACGTTCAAAGATGTGGTGCAGGCTGCTCAGCGACGGAAAGCTGAGCGCTCGCTGCTTGGGATGAGAAATTTTGGTGCCTTGACACAACGCTTGCATGATCTGATGTTTTGTTTTCAAAACTTTGCGGTGTTTTTGTGTATAGCATTCCATCTGGATGAGCCATGCAGAATCTCGAGGGAACCTCGACGGAAGTTCGGGAGCTTCTGCAGATCTTGCATCTGCAAAAGCGTCCGCTTCAATCAAGCATTGCTTGCGCAAGTCACAAATCCTGGCGTCGGCGGCAGTCCCAGAAACTGCAAGCGTGCCAAAGCCCCACGGCCCCAAATTCTGATGTTAATGTCGAAACCCCATGCTTGACAACTTCACCCTTCAACTTAAGACGCAGAAGCCCTGGCCGCGAGGTGATACAAACCAGAACAGAACATGCGTGATCACACCTTCCTTGTCGGCTGCTGCATGTGCTTGAGCTGAGCATCTTCCAGGTTTGCAAGCGCAGGCGGCGGCCTGGACCTGAGTGCCGGGTGCCCGAGCTTCCAGTGGTTCACTGAGCGTTTTTTCCGAGGAGAAGCGGGAAAATCAAACGTCGGGCTGCGCGGAGCACAACAGGCTTCTTTTCACCTTGCGGTGTTTTGCGCTTTTTGGATGGGACCTTTCCTGACCTTGGAGGTTGCTGCAAACAAAAGTGAAGGAGTGTTCTTCCATCCGAGCAGCAACGCGGTCAACCGGATGTGCACGTGCTTCCCAGGCTTGACCCTGTTCTTGTGGCTGCCCAGGTTTGGGTAGAGCATGCCTGTGACCAGGCTGCCCAATCCTGCAGCTCGTACAGTGTCTGCCGCACGCGCATGTCTGCAGCAGCTCCCTTGGAAGACTTGCTGCCTGCACCAGGGTGGGAGTCGGGATCTGGAAGCATTGAAAGCTTCGACGGGTGTCTGTTGAACGACGCATGAGGCTTTGGCACAAGCAGGAACAGCAGCCAAAGCGGTCGTCAGTGGACAGCATCAGGCCTGGCTGCCACATATCACCCGAGAGCCTTCACTTGATGGGCCCGCTTCAGTCGCGGATGAATGCTGCAGGTTTGGTCCGAGCCCTTATGTGCCCCTTATGTGCCATCAGATACCTCACCTTCAGCATCGCGTCATCCCAGCAGCAACTGCAGCCAATAAGGCCCTTCAGAGCCAAAAAGTCTAAGACCCTTGTCTTGGGTTTGGTTGCTTCCATGGCGGCCGCGGTGGTCAGCGAAGAGGTGGAGGCCGAGCTTCCCTTGCCGGCCGTGGCGCTACAGGAGGAGAGCCTGCCCAGGGCCCAGATCTCTGAGAGGGGCCGAGCTGGCACACAAGCCGCCAGAAGTAGAGCAAGTAGAGGTCTTGGAGTCTTGGGGGGACACGAGGTTCGATGTCACGGATGAGACAGTGGATGCTGTCCTGCTGTTCTTGGGTTTGGACAATGCAGGCCTTTCCACACGATCCCTGTTGCAGCTTTATGCGGGATTCATGACTCCGACAATGATTGGTAGCTTGGGTCCAACTTTCGATGCTGTCGTGTGGATGTCTTTGCCTCGAGACATGGCGGCCAGTCAGCTTGTCGCGCAGGCAAAACGACTTTGCTGCAGATGCTGAAAAACGCCACTTGCATGCATAAGCTGCCTTCCGTAATGCAGCAGGTGTAGGTGACAATGTGATTCAGTGTCGGATCGTAGCCCGCTCAGCACGTCGCTGTGACGAATTCACGCCTGGTTGTCGCATGCTACTCCTGGTGTCTGCCCTATCATCACGATCCGATGCACTCGCGGTCGCCCTCGACGCAGCTGATGCTCATGATGCTCCGGATGCTCGCATGCCTGGCCAACGTAGCCCCGGCTTATGCTCACTGTGGTCGAACCTCGCCTAGTGCAGTTACGGTCCCAACTGCCCAGCAGATGATGGATCCTATGACACCCCTCCTCGCAAGGCTCAAGTGTGTCATCTCAGGACCGCATGGTGGCGCAAGTCCCGACTCTCCACCCACAAAGCGAGGAGCTAATTATCGACAAGGCCTGGAGAGCATCAGTAACTTAACATTTCCGTGGAATGTTGCGTCAGCTTTGTTGGCATCGGAACAGCCTGAGTGTAGCCACGAAGCTTGAAGCCTCTCATGTATCTTGCCAGTTACGGCTCATTGAGCAGTCCATGAGATATGGGCCCTGCAAGGTCCGGTATAAGGCCTTTGACCTCGCCGGTCACGAGATCGGCAGGCGCTTGTGGAAGGACGCCAGCCCCCAAAAGAGCCTTCTGAATGGTTTCGGCCCTTCGCCAAGGCAAAGTAAGATCAGCTACAGTCAAGTGCCTCCTCAGGATTACTTTCCAGTTGCCAGTGCCATTGTGTTCCTGGTGGACTCCGCAGATAGAAGCAGGCATCAACTGCACGACCCCGACAAGTTTGCGGTGTGTGGGGCACGCTCTTCCTTCGAAAGAACTCGGCTGCTCCGCTGTGGAGGTTTCCAGAGGCTGCAGAGGAGTTGAAGCACCTCCTGCAGGCGAGAGTGGGGGCCGGCGGGGGCCGATGTCCGAGTCCGCACGCCCTGAGGAGACGGCTCTGAGTGCTGTGCCGATTGCAGTGCTGGCACAGAAGGCCTGGGAGAGCTCTTTGCTTGTGCTGTGCCTGGTGAGCTGCTCCGAGGTGGACCTGCCAGGTGCGGCATCGAAGGAAGAGTTTTCTGGTGCCGATCCGATTGCAAGAGATTTCACGACATAGCAGCATGAACACGGCACGCTGTGAAGGTGCCCTGGGCGTCCCAAAATCCTCGGATCGCAACATCGAGGTGTTCATGTGTATCTCAGCAGCACCAGTGAGCAGGGGAGAGGGAGATACTTGCGTCCGTGAGCCCGAGCAAACCCTGCGGCCCAAAGGCAGCGTGATGGAGCGCAAGGGTGCCCATCTCAAGCGCTGGTACCATGATGGCTGAGTCCGGCAAGATTTGTTTTACGCAGCCGGATGTTTCTACCATGTTCTTGGCGTAGCCATTTCGGCCCAGTCAATCACGCCCCGTACTAGTACATGCTTTGCTTCGGTGCTTCTTCGCACCGTCTTCAGTTATCGTACCAGAACTAGAACTACTTGCGACTTGGCTCTGCTGGTCTATCTTGGCAATGTTAGCACTCGCATGTTGGACACGGCCAGAGCGTTGTTGACATGGCAGCAGTGCGGACATGCTTGGTGCTATTCGTAATTCGATACACCGTTGCGGCTGTTGCAAAGACCTTGAAGAGGGCAGACGTCCTTCACATGCTTTCTCGATCTCTGTCTTGTATCTCGCGTCTCCCTTTGCACTTGTAGTTTTCTTTCTGTTAATCCTCTCGCTCCGTCCGCCTCCGCTGACCTGTCATGTCTGCATCACGCCACCAACAACGTTTTCCAGCCCTTGGCTTCCGTCTGCTAAGTTTTCGAATGAACCAGCTATGACTAGAAGTAGAGCAAGAAGAAGCTGTAATGGCATCCACGTCGTCGTCGGCGCCAGGAGCAGTAGTAGTAACAGCAGCAGTGGCAGTAGCAGCAGCAGCAGCAGCAGCAATAGGAGTAGTCGTAGCCATGAGGCTCGTAGCACATTGAGTATTTCCAGCCGAGGCGTTGAATCCGGTAAAGAATTGCGAGTGCACCAAGGCATCCAGGCAACATGTCGAGCACAGACATTGCCGAGTTCGCGCGCAGAGCTTCGGAAGTGATGATTATTGGTGGGGCCTACATATCTGCTCTTTGGTGGCCTTAGTACAAGTGCTTGGTTGAAGAATACGCAGGCCTTGGCAAACGAAGCATCGAGATGTCTTGCATGCGTCTGAGGTTTCGGCAGGACTCATTACGTTCAACAAGTACTTGATGCATGAAGGTCGTTTTCCTCACGCCCTGCACCTCACTGCAGTGCACATGGCTATGACAACCATGCTTTCCGTGATGCTGTACGGTGCTGTGCCGTCCATCTACCCTTCGATGAACAAGGCCATCGAGAATCGAGGCTTGTTGATGCGATATTTGGTGCCACTGGGTGTCTTGTTCGCCGTCGCGTTGGCCTGCTCCAACCAGGCATATTTCTATTCTAGTGTTGCGTTCCTGCAGTTCTGCAAGCAGGGCAATATTGCTTTCATTTTCTTCGCATCTTGCTTGCTCGGGCTACAGACCTTCAGCTGGCAGAAGCTGATGGTTCTGTCCATCGTCGTCACCGGCTGCTGCATCTGTGCCCATGGAGAGATCAAATTCCAGATGCTGGGCCTCGTCTTTCAGTTGTCATCGCAAGTCGCGGAATCTTCCAAAAACCTGCTGGGCGAAATCATTCTCACTGGTGCAGGCCTCAAACTTGATGTCCTGACATTCGTCCTTTTTCAAGCACCGTTCTCTTTGGTTCCGCTTATGGCCGGAGTCATTTCCACCTGGTCACCGGAAGTCTTTCACGACTTCGTGAACATGTGGTGGGTCGTCCTCCTGAATGCTGCAGTAGCTTTCTGCCTCAATGTGCTCATCGCCCTGACCCTCAAAAGACTTTCAGCGCTCGCCTTCGTGATCATTGGTGTTGTGAAGGCAGTTGCTTTTCAATTATTGTTTTTTGAGTGCATTCCCGCTGCTTGTGTGTGGCCAGGATGTCACCATCGTGGCCAGTTCCAGCCTGGTGTTCGGTGATCCAATTTCCCACCAGCAGTACATGGGCTTCACTGCCTGCCCCCTACGTTTCTCAATTTCGCTGAACAGCAGAGATCGTCAGAATGATCCAGGTCACCATCTGTGGCATCGTCCTTTGGAGCCATCTGAAGCTCAGGGAGCAGTGCTCTCAGGACTCTGCTTCCGTTTTTTTCTTGGAGTTCCACTCACTTAGACCATCTGGGAGGAGAAGCCGTCTGAGACGACTCCCCTCGCACCCGCGGAGAAGAAGCCGGTGGCTTCCTCGGTTGGAGTCTGTTGTGGATGCTGCCTGTTCGGGGCTTGGGTCACATGGGAAGGCAAGTGTCGGTCTCGCAAGGGCTCCGCGTCTTCTGGCTAGTGCGGAAGGCCTCGTGTTTTTATTGCTATCCCTTTGGTTGTTCGCTCCTGAATCATCGGACCCTGCCCTTTGTAGCACTCTTCAACTGTCAAACGGGTGGATGTGTTTCGCGTGTGCAAGCCTTTTCCTGGCAGTGCCTCCTGAATCGAACCCTCGCCATGTTGCACGATCGGTGCTGCCTGGACAGAAGCTCTTGGCCTGTATGTTGCTATCTGCTGCGGTGTTTATGGCTTTGCACAGGTGCTGTCGAACAGTGTAAAGTTCTCGGTGTTCCCTCGTTATCAGAAACCTCTGAAGCCTTGAGGTTGAAAGTGCTTGAACAAGCCTGGCAGCCGCGGATCCCAGCTGCAGCGGAAATATGCTGCGCCAAAAACCGCCTACGGTGCAATATATTTGCTGCATGCTGTTGGTGGACAGGAGTGTCACGTATGAACTTATCATCGTTGCAGCAAGGTTATGCTGACGTTATGCGATGGATCCAGGACTCGATGGTTTGTGTAAAACGTGCTTATCGAGTAATGACTGGGCCGCCTTGCAGGAGCAGCTGTTGGCGACCCATGTCACTGTGCCTAAAACTCAAGCTGAGCCAGCAGGAGTGCTGTGAAGAACGATTAGAATGATTGGAGGGCAGCTGGCGGCCTGCTTTCTTTGGGTTGGTTTCAGGAGCAGAGCCTGTGATGGATGATGACTTCGTTTGATGTCATCATTAGCGACCGTGGCAGCCGGCTTGGGTACCTTGGATTTGAAAAGAGCACCAGAGTGGAGGGTCTCACAGATCATGTGTCTTACTTTCCTGATTTGTCTTGTAGTTGGCTTGCCACGAATCGAAACACCAGATTCGGTTGATTGTTCCAGCTTTCGCGACGAGTAGAGTGTTTGGTCGGGGTGTTTGTTCCAGGATGAATCAGCTGTAAGACTCGCTTCAGCACGCTGCAAGGCCCCTGTCTGACCTGAGGAGCAAAGGACCACTCCGCTCGACTAGCACCAGTAGCCTGGCAATGTCAAATGCGACTGCCACAGTCTCCTTTTGCTGCAAGAACTGTCTCTGACAAGACGTGCCGGTGCATGATTTTCCACACTGCTCTGGCACTGTACATACCTCGCGTGCAGCTGAGGGGTACAAGCGGCGTTTGTCAGGTTTCTTCAATCTGTCTTCCGAACCTGTCCAATCCAATGTGGTGTTTTGTTGTGTCTGTCAGTCGCGCTGGCTTGCGACTGCGACTTCCAAGTGCCTTCGAGACCGCTTGAGCTACGACCTCGGATTCAGAGAAGGGTCGGGCCTATCGCCTTACCGTAGGTCAGATGACTCCTCATTCACAGGTGACAAAAGCTTCAACCACTCCAGCTCGTTGCATCCTCAGCGACCAGTTGAAAGGCTTTTTTGCCCGAAAGTGGCTTGGAACGCCGATCCCGCCAGCTGCAAGCAGCTTCGTTGTCCGCATGATGCGAAGCATTCACTACATACACAAATAGATGAATACCTACCATAATAAGGGAATAGACACACGTACCTGTATTACTATCTCTATCAATATGTACATGTGTACAATGGTGGAACCACATAGTACATGTTATTACAAGTGAACAAATAAATATTTGTATAGGTACATCAATGCATACATGAACACGCATGCAAACACACATAATATATACATATACATATATATATATATATTTTTTGTTTATATGTACATATGTATATATGTATGTATGTATGTATGTATGTATGTATGTATGTGTGTATGAATGTATGCATGTATGTATGTATGTATGTAAGTAAGTAAACAAGTAAGTAAGTATGTAAGTATGTAAGTATGCAAGTATGTAAGTACGTAAGTATGTAGGTATGTATACAACAGTAATAAGAAGGAGAGGAAAGGCGATGATCATGATACTACTCATGACCAGTTTGCATAATTAATACGCATCCATCGATCCATCCATCTATCCATCGATCATCCCATCCCATCCCATCCCATCCCATCCCATCCCATCCCATTCATCCATCCGTCCATCCGGGAAGCAAGCCAGCCAACCAGCCAGGCAGGCAGGCAGTCCTGCATGCATTCATATACATTCATATGAATCATCACTGGCTGGCTGGCTCGCTGCCGGGCTGCCTGGATGGATGGATGTATGGATGGATATTTACTTGTTTGTTGAATTGTTTGTTCATGGGTAATCTATGCAAACCTCATGAGTAGATCATGATCATCGCCTTTCCTCTCCTTCTTGTCATTACTGTTGTATCACATACATACCCACAAACGTACATACTTACTTGCTTACTTACTTACTTACTTGC